ATCAAGATACCATATAGGAGCGTGGTGTTTGCCTTCGAACGAAGATCACTGCCTAACATCACCGTGCCACCAAATTGATACATCAGGGGCATGCGAACTGTTCATAATCCTGTGCGAGCGATATCCATTCCCAGCCACTAACCCTGATAGGAGTGGGGTATTCTTGCGCTCGAAAGTGAGTGCAGAGATGCAAAATGGAACGCTAGTGAAGTAATGTGAGGGCTTAAAATGAGGTTTCCTTCCCCAACAGCAGCGAACGAGGGTGGGTGAGTGGGTTGCGAAGGAATTTTTCGAACATGCTGGCCACTGCTGACTTCATGCTAGCAGCGGAGGTACTGCAACCAACACACTCTATCCGGCTCATTTCAGGCTCTATCCTAGCCACGTACCATCCCGCGGCGGGCGATCATAACTTACGCCAGGCGGACAGAGCCCTAAATAGGGAGCTGAGCCCCAGCTTATAAGTCTGCGGACTCTTTAAGTTCTGTCTTGCTCCACATACCTTAAAGGAATCTTCCGCGGAAAAAGCTCCGCCTCCATTACCACAGAAAAACGATACCCCTTAGGCCCCTAGCCTCATGAGCATAGCAAAAAGAACGGAACATAAGCGTTAGTTTCGATAATACTAATCCTACACAAGACAAAATGATCACTCTTTCCGTGGAAGATTCCTTTAAGGTATCGTTTTCTGTGGTAATGAGGGCGGAGCTTTTTCCGTGGAAGATTCCTTTAAGGTATTATAAACCTTGCCAAATTACGCTGCAACCTTATTCTTCGAGCCTTCTCCATTAGGCATATAAAAGACATTGTTCGCACTTTTCACGGCTTACGCTAGGCCTCTTTTGGAGTACTGTACTCCAATATGGTCACCATCAACTCAGTTGCTAGTTAGCGAAATAGAACAAGTTCAAGCCAAATTTACAGAGAGAATTTTCGCAAAGAGCGGGTCTTTTTCACATCCAATACGCAGACCGTCTTAATTATCTCGGCACCACAACGCTTGAGATGAGGAGAAAGGTCATGGATTATGTCGCCTATACAAAGCTCTCTAAAGGGAGATTGATATTGAATTTGATCTGATATTCAGGAAGTCTCTAACTATAGGTAGGACACGGGGGCATTTCTTCAAGCTGCTAAGAGAGAAGACTCATTCTTCAATGTATAGAGACAGCTTTTCGCAGAGAGTTATCTCGTTTTGGAATAGCTTACCAGCCGATGTAGTAGACTCAACTACGTCAATTTCCTTTAAGAAAAACATAATCCGAATTCTCAAAAATCAGGGCTGGATCCCTTTGGTAATCAGCATAGATCGTGGACTACAAGGACAGTTGCACAATGTCATTGAGAGTTGTGAGTAAAGTTCTGAAAGTTATGTCTCCAGGGTTTTCGATATCGTTTGCCGACTAGGGGACTCGACTGAGTGATGGAGCTGCGAGGTGGTATCCGGAGGCGCATTCACTCTACTCTCGCGACTTGCAGTATTGGCAGTATTGGCAGGCCACTGCTCTTCGAAGCCGAGTGTTCCACCTCTTCCCCTCTCCCTTAGCCTTCCCATCTCCATGCTATTTTACAACTTTTTATGATTTATTTATTTTTCTCGTTCATTTTGTTGCTCTGTATACAACTATTTATTTTTGTTCATCTCAGCATACCATGTTAATAACTGTGTTTGTATTTATTGTTTTAATATAAGCACCGATAATAAATATATATAAATTTAGGGTGGATAGTGGTGGGGGAACTTTTTACTGCGGCCGGAGTTACGGTAATAGCGTGGGATCACCTATAATTGCGACCAAGCCTGCATTGATGGAGAGGGGATTCGTTCGAGCCAAATGTTCTACCTGTCTTTTTCGGTGTGTACGGGATGTGCACTTTCATTTGAGCTGCATCGCAATGCAACGAACACGAAACACATATTGAAGATGGCATTCCAACAAGAATCTAGATACGGTTCTGACTGGTGGGACTGCACGGTTAGAGCTGGAAGGCAGTGTACCCACTTGATACAATTATGGAAGAGATCGGAGGACATGTGTTTGCATACCGTGGGGAACGATTGTCGATTGATTCATTTAGTTTCGGAGGCCTTTATCTAAAGATTTCGTTGGCCGTTCCTCATACGCCATACATTGTTTCTTTCCTAATGCATCAAATTACTTCGATCGTTTTGTATCCATTCTGCGAACTCGGATGCTTCAGCCAGATTCTTTCAATCCACCGAAGTCCAGGTTGGACCTTCTTGCAATGTTGACATGATTAGTTGAAATAGTCTTGACTTTTCTGTTGAGGCGTTTGAGCGAGCAAGTTACACATGCTTTTGATCATTTCAGGCTCTGACGAAGGCGAAAAGCCGAAACGTAAGCCTTGTATAAAAGTTCAATCTTGAAAGGCTTGAAGAATCATTCCTACTGAACTAACCATGCCTGATTACTTGCCGCCTAAGGAACGCTTTTTCCATGCTTCTGTGTCGGCCTGCGTGACACCTACCCTGGAACTGTCCATTGGAGTGTGGTTTCGTACTCTGTTATTCTCGGTAAATTTATCCTTTTTTGCGACTGGAACTTAGGGACGTTGCTCTCTTAGTGAACAACTGAAATTCTGTTTCGGAAAGAATGCAAAGATTTCTGGGGAGGTTCCCTCAACTGGTGCAGAGTCGGAATTCCCAGGGGCCTTCTGATTTTCCTAGTTTGCGAAATTTCTAACGCCACAGGAATTCTTTGAGGGTATACGAGTATTCTTTGGAACGTGGGTAAAAGGAAGAAATCGCTCGAACTTCTCATGGGAGTGATCGTGATTTTGTCAAAATACCAACCAGTTTCTTCATGAACAATAGTTTTTTGTAATATTTTTATCGAAAAACTGTAAGCTACACAACATATTATGTGTGTGAAGAGTATGGATACCCAGTTGGAAAGTCCTCGGATGAAAAAAAAGTACGAAACGACTCGGCACGTGTAATACAAAAAAGGCTGCGTCTTCGCCATCAGCACATATGCATTAGACCTATGGAAAAAAATGACGCTCACATATTCAATTTGACTACAAAACGTTCGACTGACCGGAATAGTAACTTCGATTGGATGAGAATAAATGAAAAACGAAAAGATGCGAAATCACAGCTGAGAAAACAGGGCGAGTAGAGGAAAAAATGGAGCGGGACGATGACTAGAACCCGTTTTCATCGACGAATACATTCAAAACGACTAGAATCAACCAATGATCGAATAGAATATCTTGTTCGAATATCTCAGTATTTTCGCTACTAAATGTTATCAATGGCGGCGTTGCGACTTGCTTGTAGCCGAATCAACGTATCGAGCGGATTGAACGGTTGCTTCGGCATCGACTGGCCAATCGTTTCTTTGATCGATAACCTACAACAAATCAAAATTGAAAAAGTAGAGGTTTGAATGGGAGAAAGCGAGCTGCTGACGGGAGTAAGTTGGACCATAAGTGCCTGATCAGATCGAAGTGAAGAGAAATGGGGCGCTCATGGCCTTGGGGTGGAGGAGAGCGCGACTACAGAAAGCTCAAGGCTCCACGTCATGACCGTGTACGAAATGTAAAAAAGCGCACAAAAAAGGCACAATTTGATCAAGAATGCTTACCTGTTGAGGCATTCTTCACCGGACGGCCCTTCCAACCACGGCCAATGTTCACAGACGATATCCGTTGGATCTTCAAACGACCCACAGCGACCGAGCACTTTTACTCCTGCAAATATCCCCACTTCTTGATATGTCCGAGAGAAACTAGTAAAGGAAGAGTTGCGCAATAAAACAGGGGTGAAACTTCCAAATACGGCAGAGCTTCGCTAGTCTTTCTTGCCGCCCAAATTGGACCAATTATTCAAGCTCAAGGGCTGAGGCTTCACGTACCTTCTCTGGCCACTTTGACCATATACGGCACAATGTTCTGGTTCCAGAGACGAACAAACCATGCCCGTGATTCCTCAACACCCAACGGACACTGTAGGAAAATTCGAGGCCCAATCGTTACATCCAGTGAATTTGCCTTCTCAATGAACGTGTTCACTGCCTGAAATACCATGCTTTGATGATCAGCATAGTTCAAAAGTTTCAGTGCATGATTTAATTCAAATGCGAGGGCAAACAGAGCGCGTTTTCAACAACTGGAAGTACAGAATTTCTTCTGGTGTGAAAACACTTCCAGCTGATTTCTGTGCGTTTCTGAACGAACCTCGCCTTGAGGTCACACAAAGTTAATGCCTCTTTCCTCGAGTCGATATTTCAGTATGTACACAAAAGTATGCAGCGATGGGAGACGTGCATAGATGACAAGATGAAGCGTCCTTAGCATTATTTTGCAGAATTTTTTTTGATTGTTTTGATTTTTTTTGATTTTTGTTTTGCAGGATTTATTTTAATTGAATTAATTTGCTCTGTTAGAGGGGGTCGTGCCAGGATCTCGATTTCGGGGGGGGGGGGGTCGTACCTCTGCGACCACGTACTCGACACGATTTTCACCCTGATTGACATGAGGGGTCCCAT